TTAGCACGCTGTTGATAGATCAGTTTGTACATTTTTTAGCGTGCGCAGAGAAATAGCTCACGTTTTTATACACGCAAACCTTTGATAGATCCGGCCCTCTGTGTATACAAAATGACATTTCTTTTAGTGCAGCTTTTTAGACAGTAAATGAACATTTCCCTTCCATAAAGTGCAGCAGTGATCAAATGTGAACTATAGCCCCATTTACACTACCCTCTGAAAACCGATCCGTGCCGAGCTTGGATCAGTTAACAGTGCCGAATTCGGTTCCTTACCTCCTAGTGACAATCTACGGTACTACTGCTCTCTAGAGGTAAACAAGCAAATCAACATGGCAGCACCCGTAACATTAAGGAAGTTAGGGGAGGGTCAGGTGAAGAAGGCAGCCTTTCGTGCTTTTACTTGACAGAGTCGGCCTTTGGGAAGTGGATATGACAAAGAATAGTCTAATGAGGGCTTACAGATGCAGGAAACAATAACAGAACTTGAGGTTCATCACATTGCTAAGCAGAATAATCACTGGAAATCGTGATTTTATGAATGTCTGGATTTTCATGATGACAGAGGCTGACTGTAAGAAGTTGACGTGGTCTCCTCATGCACTCTTTCTTATCTGAGAACCGTGCCAGAACTGAACCACACCCGGCCCTACTGTTGAACTAGTACCAGATTAGCGTGGTTCGGTTGTGTCTGGCACAGTCCGGTTCAGTTTTGCGTGCCATTTACCATCAACAATTATCTTTGTTACTGTGCTTGCACTGATCTCGGCACGGCTTCAAAAGGGTAGTGTAAATGGGGCTGTTTGAGAAAAGACATGAGGCAAAAAACGCAGTGATATGTAAGTTCTGAGCATTAATATATGTGGTGCAAATATGCAGTCTCTTAGAAATAAGGAAACAACTTTATTAGAGAATTTCAGCTTGTGGTCTTCATCTAAATTACCACATCCACAGACATATATAGGACTAAAGGGAACCAGCTGCATGCTTTATTTAGGTACTATAAAAAGCTCTTCCACAAGTGCACAACTATTCGTTTGATAATTTAATGATTAAATTAAATGAACGTTTAAAGAATATCGCCTTGTAATTTGAAGTGTCAGTAACAGAAACACACAAACACACTCACACAGATTACGTCTTCCTATCATTACAGGGACTTTGCATTGACTTCCATTCATCTTGCATTAATTTGTATGGACTAACCCAGAACCTTACCTAAATCCTAAACCTCATCTAAGCACCTGAACTTCAACTCAAACCTTAGTCCTAAACCTAACACACTGGCCTTACACCACGCCGCACAAAGTAACACATATATGGCTACAACAGCACACACCCACAAACACATACAAAAATTTATTTTTATAAACATATTTTATGGTTTTAAAGATTCAGAGTCTTTGAAGTGTATTTTTAATAACTTCTTGTGATAAGAGATTATAAACACAGCACAATAAACTGAGAGTATCTGTTATCACTGTATCAACATCAGTTAAAGAGAAGAGTTATTCAATTTTAGGAGACTTCATTGCCTTGTTTATCCAGTTTAGATTGTCTTTTGAAAGGAAAGCATACACTCCAGGCCACTTTACTGATCCACATATTTCAGAGGGAACAGTGCGGTTGCCTCCAAAAGATGTGACTCCGACAAGAACTCCGTTGCATAATATTGGCCCTCCTGAATCCCCCTGAGAAAAAAACAAAACAAAGATAACAGATAATTTAAATGTCGTAACAAGGTGTTATTCTTTGTGAAAAGGTCATTAAACCTCCTTACCCCACAGGTGTCAGCCTTGTTTTTTCCTTTCGACCCAGCACATATCATGCTCTTAGTAATATATGGATTTAGATCATAATGATCCTTGGAGTTGCACTTCTTTCGGTCGATCACAGTTACATTTACTGACATCAAAACATCTGTCATAGTCTTTGCATCTGGTTTGTTTTTTCCCCATCCAGCCACCATGCAGACTAAATTGTCTTCTGGCTCTCTGACAATTTTACTAAGCTTGAGAACACTGACCCATTTGGTTTGCTTCACCGGTTTGTTCAGCTGAAAAAGAAACAATGAAAGTATACATACAGACTTTATATGACCGTTTTCTGAAAATATGAAATATACAGAATATAGCAATACGGAAATGCTTTGTGTATTTCTGTTTAATAAAGGAAAAAAATCTTTATCTTTTTTTTAAACATAAAAGATTATTTGAGCAAGTGCAAAAACATCATGGAGGATCACACATGCAAGAGTGTTTGCTAATCAGATTTTTTTTCCCAATGCATATAGTTTTATTTTACATGTAGATACGTTAATTTATTTTGCAAAACAAGCTTACCATAAGCAACTGTAGGTCATTGTTTTTTTCTTTAGCATCATAGCAAGGGTGAGGAACGCTTTTCTGCACCTTACAGACTTGCCTGTACTTTTGTTCTTTCTTCTTGTCCTTGATGGAGTGCACCCCCAGCAACACAGTCTTAATGCTGACAGAGCAACCACACAATTTGGTGTTAGAAAGACTTAATATATGACAGCTTAAAAGCTACACAGTAATGAGACAGTAATGGTTTTCTCTACATCTAGTTGAATTAATCTAATAAGAAAAGAAAAATGTAATTTAATCCAACCCTAATGTTGCTTTCTCTTTTAGTTTACAAAGGTTGATATATTCACACAAGACAAAAGTAAATAATGTCATGTTCTGGTTTACCTTCATTCATTTTTTTTACCATAAAGCAAAACTAACTGCTGCGGGAACTATGAAAGTTACAGTATGAATAGCCTTGGGTTTAACAGATTTATTTTAAGCTCCTATCGATCATTACTTGCAAAATAGTTATTGATACTTTACTCATTTTAGCCTTGTTGCAGATGATAGCTGCAGTTACGCATCATACTTTTGAGTGGCCTGCGCAAAGAAGATTTTTCTGCATGCTTGGATGTCCTAAAAGAAGACATACATCATCTTTGCTCACTTTGTACCTTTATTAATGTATTTATTTATTTGGCCCTCAGGAGCCAAAAGAAGACATATGTCATAGATTAAAGAATTTTTTTTTTCTTTACACAGGTAGTAAAACTGCAAAATTGTCTATATAAATGAGTTCATGAAATAAAAAGTGTCCTTTATACAGCTGCAACCATCACTTTTAAGGACATATGATGCAAAAGTGGCCCTATATAAAACTGAGCTTGACATACCTAATGTTGATCTAACATAAGTGAGCACATCCCTCACAATTTTTGTTAATATTTTAATAACTTATGAGTTCACTTCAGAACTTTTACTGCTGAAGTCAGATGATCCCAGTGAGGAAAAATTACTAATTAGTCACAGCTTGGACATTTTAATTTAAGGCCTTTCTCATTTTTGTTCCCTGGGGTTTTAACATCTATAGATGTCCAATAAATAATTTTGAGTTGACACCAAATTCAAGATCTTATGATGTTGGACCCTTGGTTTATTTCATACAAATGACATTACATTAAAAAGAAGACCCACGCATAAACTGGTGAGAATTATTACATGGTCAGTTTAAAACTTCTCCTGGCATGTAGCTTAATGTTGTGCCTAAAAACCTGTACAATAACTACTACATTTTTTTTGTGAGTGTTATATTTTGTAAAACTGAAACAGCACTTTGCAAAGTGTTACCCACTTTCTTGCAAAGCTACTATTAAAACTTGTTACTCAATAAGAAAATGAAACTTAAAGTTCAAACAGGAATGTTAAGCACGATGTGACAATTTTCTGAAGCCTTTTGGCTTTTGAGAATTCTTAGAAGTAGATTTTTTTTTTCTATCCTCACAATTGCTGTCATTCAATGTGATTTAACAGGATATATGCATAGAGTTACTTTGGGGTCCTGACATACCAGCTTTAAAAAAGTCTGAGACCTTTATGTATGAGCTTGCTGGACTTGCTTGCTCTAAGTCATTATATCAAAAATATATTCATACATACTTTCAGCAATTTCCTCATTAGTTGACTTTTTGAGCTTAACAAAGCAGAAATAAATCCTCCATATTTGCAAGGCAGAAAAACATACTTTCTGTGACCATCAGCTTATTATGAAACACATCTCAACCTGCAGACACTTTTGGTTTATTACATGCCTATACATTTCAACCACCTAAATTTTAAATGGATAGGAAATCAAATACAACCAATGTAGCGATTGTTTTTTTTATATTATACTGAAGTTACTTGATAATAGACAAAAAAAAATAAATAAACGTTTTATTTTTCCTCACTCTTTGCAGTGTGCAGCTGTCAGAACCCATTTTGGATCAATTAATATTCCTCCGCAGACTGGTGCTTTGGACTCCAGCAGAGCCATGAAGGGCATTGAGTGGGGCTCCACTTCTTTCCCATTAATGATTTCAGAACCACAGCCTAATAGAGGAAAATACCCAGACACAAATTTTCAGCAGAAACAAACATTAACCCTTATTCAATGAGAATAATATAACTAATTAGAAAATGAAAGTGCATAAAAAAACATTACTTACTGGATTTGACAAGAAAAAGAAAAAGGCCCAACCGTGTAAAAGCACAAAAACCCTTCAGAGTAAACATCTCCTCCTATTAGTTGCTTTGATCTAGTGATGAATGCGCCCCCCACTATGCTTTACCCTTGTATATGTGTTTCCCTTAAAGGATGTGGTCTGCAATGGAAATCTATGAATCATCAAAATGCACTCACCCTGAGGGTAAATCTGACCAACGGTGTCATTCTGAGGCAGTAAGTGTAATAGGTGTATAGCAAATGAAATTATTCGGTAACATTTAGGTGTGATTTTCAATTTACTAACATGAATCTACCCTGAGAGCCCCTGAAAGTGAGGCAAAGAATGATTATTTATACAGCACATTTCAGTGGCAAGACAATTCAAACTGCTGTACATGAAAAAAGTTCTTTGCTGTGGCTTAGAGTTAACACAAATAAAGAGAAGTGAATGAAATAGCATAAGATGAATATGTATACAAAGATCAAATGATTGATGTAAAAAAGGAGCGTTGGACTGAGAATCTAACTATTAATAGGTGTAAAGAAGTATTTAATCTCGATTTAAAGCAGCTTAGTTTTCACAAGATAGGCAGGGTAATCCAGAGAGCGAAGTTATTTATTTTTTTTTTAGCTTTTATTGTCATTACACTGTCACAAGTACAGAGCAATAAAAGTGACTCTCTCTTTCTTTTTTTCTGAGAATCTATTCCATATTAGCGGAGAATAGGAAATAAATGCTACTTCCTTGTTTGGTTCTAAGTCTATGTGTTCAAAGTAGATTTCAGCAGCAAACCTGAGAGGTCTGGCAATGGATACTTTTCTCTGATATATAGAGAGCCAGTGAGGATGCAGGCAGCAGGTGAATGTATCAACTAGTTTTCAAGGTGCTGAGAAAGTAAATTGTTGTTCCTGGAGATATTCTTTATGTGATAGAAGGCTTATTTTGTGACTGTCTTTTGTGTTTCTTTGAAGATTCAAATATCCAAAATGATATTAAATAAATCCACCGGTGCCACAGTACTAGGAACCTACACTGAAAAAAAGTGTAACATGTAACTGTTCATTCAAACTAATGCTTTTCACTCTAAAATAGATAAAATTATTGATTTTATTATGTAAATAATATGTATCAAATCAATATGTATATAGATGAATGGATGGATGGACAGATTGCAGTCCATCACTGGGCAATGAATATACATACAAAGACACACAACCATGCAAACACACTTACTTAAAAACAATTTAAAGAGGCCAATTAACCATAACAGTAATGTTGTGGACTGTAGGAGGAAGCCAGACTTCCCGGAGACAACCCACGCAAGCACATGGGGAATATGCAAAGTCCATGCAGAAAGATCCTAGGCCTCAAATCGAACCTAGGAACTTTTTGGCCCAAACTGCACCACCATGCAGCCTGATATGAATCCTATGAACTCTAATATAATCTTATACATTTATGTTCACAGTTATATTTTCTCATTGAGTTTGAAACATACAAACTTTTACATATCCAGTGTCTGATGCCTCGGGTACTTATTTTGTATAAACCACTTTTATTTTTTTTTTATTTACCTTTTTCTTACCACATTGCAGTGATAGGCTGAGTGTCTGAGCTGGATGAAAAAGCAGTGCAGCAGGAAGGCCTCATGAGAAGGTTTATATCCTCAGCGTTGTTCACCACACCTCAGTTCCACTCAGCTAGATATGGATGTATGATTTATTTTTCTGGACAGATGAATGGTCAGATTCCATACTCTACCACTCAATTAGTGGCTTTTATCATATCAAACAGACCTCAAATGAACTAAAATACACAATAGCTGAGCATGCTTAAAATTATTTATAAGTCTGACAGATTTAAATGAAGGTGCTCTTCATGTTATCCAGAACAAGAAAACAAGTTAGGAAAAAAGTATAAAAAAGGCTCCATTCTCCCTGGAGAAGATGCATGATGAATTAAAAGGAGGAACAAATTCTCTCTGGGAATCTACCTTACAACACCAATACAGTGGGTCAAAGACAGATTAGGTGGTGTTTAATCCATGCGGCACCTTTTGCATAATGTAATCCCAATGCTAGTGTTGCAGGTGGCCAACTGGTCATTTCTTTATTTAATGCAAGCCACACTTTCTGACGGCACAGCACAAACATGTTTAGGCACACACTCCTGCAGAGTCGTCTTTGCTAGTATTCACTTCTATTTACAGTTGTCTGACTTGGCGTCGAAACTAGGAAGCAAAGATAAAAAAAATTGAACGATGCCAGGAGGTTTGAAAGGACAGAACCAGTTCTAATTCATTATCGATTTTCAATGCCCAACCCTACTTGTTACAGGAGATGCAGGGCATTGATGATAACTACATACAGACATGGACAAAATTGTTACCGGTAGTACTCCCCATTTAGTATAAGAAAAAACCACAATGGTCACGGAAATAACTTGAATATGACAAATTTATAAATAAAAATTCTACGAAAATGAAAAAGATTGATACAAAATGTAGCTTGGAAATTCAAGTCTGGCTTTTTATGATTTTTTTATTTATTTTTATTGTTTTCCTCGTTATTCGTCTCCCATCAAGTTCACTTTGGCTCCAACAACAACGGATGGTGCATTCATACACTGCTGTTCCTTGAGCATGAAGGTCACTCGAAATCTCTTTGAAAAGTTTTCTGGGCTCTTTTCTATCTATTTATATTATATTTCCTTATGATTTGTCATCAATTTTCCTGCTGCGGCCATGCTCCGGGAAGTTGGCTACAGTCCTTTGGATCTTAAATTTCTGAATAAAATGCACAACTGCAATCAGAGGAACATCGTTTTGCTTGAAGAGGGTCTTGTAGCCTTAAGCTTTAACATGCTTGTCTATAGTTTTCTTTCTAATTTCCTAAGATAACCCTTTCATCTGGCCCATGTTGAATGTGGTACACATAAAGGCCCAATCCCAAACCAGCCCCTAACCCAGGGGTGTCAAACTGGTTCCAGAAAAGGCCATGTGGCTGCAGGTTTTCTTTCTAACCAAGCAATAGCACACCAGACTTAATTAATCTCCTCAAGCCATCATGTTAAGATTAGACTCACTTGATGAGATGACTGGAGTCTGGTGTGCTATTGCT